TTTCACACCTCTAACCCCTCACTCTCTACCCCTATTTATAGTAATCTTCAATGAATATGAGCCATTGGATTTGTCTTGAGCCCCAAGCAACAATCTCCACCTTTGAATTTGCTTTTTGTATTTCTCTAGCCCAATCTTTATTTTATTTTCAAAAAGAAATTGAAAATCCGGCCCATAGCAATTCATGAGAGCTCCAATTGATTTTCGAAATAAGTCCGGCCCATATGAGAGCTCCAATTGATTTTCGTTTAATCAAATCCGGTCTTCATGCAGCAAATTTCATTTTTTTTTTCAATTTTGCTTTTGAGTCCGTCCCATCCTGCAGCAAATCAAACAAAAATAAAAACAATGTCCGGCCTTTAGATGTTTGCAGCATACAAGCAAATCCGGCCCACTTGTGAAATCCAACTTCATGTGATACAAAGTTGAAGAGCTGCAGCAATTTTGATCCCTCAACTCCGGCCCATTCTGCAGCAAAGCCTCCATTCAAAATAAAACAAGTCCGGCCCATTATGAGAGCTCCACTTGATTTTAAAAATGAAACTCCAAATCGGCCCAATGCAACCAGCAGTCCAAAGCAATCTGCAGCAAGTTTTTGGTCTTATAATCTTTGCATCCAAGTCCATTTTATTCCAACTCTTTGCATCCAAGTCTATTTCATTCCAACTCTTTGGTGTGTATATATATATATTTTAATGGGCTTTGCTTTTTGGGCTTCAATCATTTTCCTCTTTTAAGCTTTTGCTTCATGGGCTTCTAAAATATTACAAAAATAGAGAAGAGAGATTTTGAGGGGTTTTTACATTTAATACTATTTATTTATATTTTTATTCAATTATGTGGGAACTAAGCTAACAACAATTATTAATGGTATATTTATTCATGTAAAATAGATAATGAGGATATAAAATTGTAATAAAAATATGATTATCATTGAGTATTGATGAGGGGCTGCTTTCTCCTCTGACTTTATGTCTGGTTCTTTGAGTGGGGTTGATAAATCTGCACAAGTAGAAACTCGTGAGAGGATGGAGCTTGGCTTCCCCATGGTTTCTCCAACGATCAAGTTAGCTGATGAACTTAAGTGGGAAAAATAAAGACATGTGTGAATTCTTGTGTGTATATTATATCTGCTTTAAGATCATATTAATATTCAAATCAAGATCCTATTTTCGATTAGATCTGATTCTCAATCTCTGATTTGTGTCCTCTGTAAAAGGTAGAATATTACCTTCATTTATACTAAGGATATAAAGGTAGATTGGTCATTTCGGCTGAGCACAGGATGGTGGTGGTGAAGTGTGGGCTGGTGGCTGAGTTAGCACCTACTTTACAGGTGTCGGCTAGCGACTGGATGAGCGATCAGCTCAGCATTAAATAGGAAGTGATTGGTAGGATGTTGGTGCCTACGTGGTCCGATGAGTCATAAAGGCTATCGAGGCTAGAGGCTGTATGATGCATTCCAAGCATTAAATGCGATGCAGATACGTTGCCAGTGGGATAGGCTCGAGGCAAAAGTTATCCTTTAACTTCGCTAAGAAGTAACGCCTTTTGAGTCGTCCTCGCGAGGCATCCAGCAAATGGTCGAGTGGGCTCATGGTGAGTCATATTCAACAAAATAGGGTGATAAGTACAGCCTTTCGTGTCGACATAAGGGAATGTCGACTCGACAAGTCGGCTAAGTTATCATCCCTACTGGTCTTCGGCCGTTAACTTGATTGGGGTATATCATGCAGTACACCTATCCATTGCTTGGCAATTGGTTGCTTTTTGGCAAATGGGAACACTATAACAGATATGTTACCTCCCTTCATGAAACATTATATTTTTCAAAAGTTTATCAACACAAATTTCGGTCGGCTCTTCTTGTCCGAACTGAAGATCTTTGAACAAATTTCTCAATTAAAGTGCATGAATGACACTCGATGATGCAACATATTCGGCTTCACAAGTTGAAAGAGTGACTATTGGTTGCTTCTTTGAAGAACGCGTAAAAGCAGCATCGCCGATAAAGAAAGTGTAACCAATTGTGCTCTTTCGGTCATCAACATCTCCGGACCAATCGCTATCAATGTATGCAACAAGTTCAAAGTTGTTAGAACTTGAATAAAACAAATGAAATCTATTATACCTTTGATGTATCGGAGAATACTCTTTGCTGCTAACAAGTGTAAAGAATTCGGATCTTTGCTTGTACTCTTTGGCAACTAACGTCGCCTTATGTCTCTCAACTTCTCCTTTCACATTCTTCTTCTCTTTGAATACCCATTTGACTTTAATTGCTTTCTTACCTTCTGGACGTGTTACAAGCTCCCATATATCATTCTTCTCGATAGCCTTAATCTCTTCATCCATAGTCCATCTCCACTTTCGAACTTGAACTGCTTCTTTAAAGTCTAAAGGCTCACAACCAGCGAATAAGCAAAATAATGTTAAATCATCTTGATTTTCAGTTACCTCATACAACTCCCTTACACTCCTAAAAAAATTTTGGTTTTGGTCTCGATGATGATGAGGATGATGCTAAAGAACTCTTTGATTGGGGCGATTAAGGTGTGTTTGGTGATGATATCATCGGTGATGATAGAATAGATGTCGATAGAGTATGTGTTGGAGCATCTTTCCCGATCTCAATCTCTTCACTAATGATAGTAATTGAGCTGGTGTAAATTTCTCTCTTGATCTAGTCTCATTATTTCTCTTCATCAAATTGAACATCTTGACTAAGAATAAACTTATTACTGCATGAATCATACATCTTGTAATTCTTAGTTCTTGAATCATAGCCAATGAATACATATGGAATACTCCTCTCATTGGGCTTATTCCTCTTCTGCTTAGGAACATGAGCGTAGTCAATACTGCTATACACCTTGAAATGTCTCACATTCAGTTGGTAACAGGTCTAGACCTCTTGCAAAGTAGTATTTTGAGAATGTGAGTTGGACATCGGTTGAGAATGTAGACGGCGCAAAAAATAGCTTTGGCCCAAAAGGTTTTAGACACTTTCTTACTACTCAGCGTACTTCTTACCATATTCAAAATAGTGTGATTCTTCCTCTCAGCGGTGTTGCTTTGTTGTGGAGTATAAGAAGCAATCAAAAAAATGTCGAACTCCATGTTCTTCACAATATGATTCAAACTCCTTTGAAGTGCACTCTCTACCTCGGCGTGATCTGATAGCTTTAAGATAAAAGACACTCTCTTTTTCCACATTATCTGTGAACATCTTAAACATAGAAAATACTTTAGATTTGTTCTTCAAGAAGTATACCCTAAGTCTCTTGCTTATACTCGCCGATTGTGATCGGAGTAAACGGCCCACACACATTAGCATCTCCGGCTTGTAGCGGTTTTGACACATGAAATGAAGCCTCCTTTGGGAAAGTAGCTTGATGATGCTTCCCTACTGGACATCCTTCAAAGAGTTGCTCAAGATGATCAATTATTGGCATCCCTTTCACTATGCTTCTATCGGCCGATATCTTTATACTACCAAAATTGAGATGCTGGTATCTCAAGTGTCATCACCAAGTAAGATAATTGGTACAAGCCTTCAAAGATTTCATGTCTCCACCTTAAAGGTTTAGCATGAACATTCGATTCTTCGACATCTGTACTTTTGCAATCAGTCTACCTCTTTGATCTCAAAGAAAAAGACTATAATATTTCGTACGAAAATCATAGCCCTTTTCTAAGAGTTGTCACAAACTCAATATATTGCTTTTTATATTGGGCACATAATAAATATTAGTAATAAATTTTTCTTCTCCATTTATGAGGTGAATAGGAATTTTACCTTGACCTTTCACTGGAATCTTTGAGAAATATCCAAAAGTCACCATGTTATTCACAGATTCATCCATGTCGACAAACATACTTCTCTTGTCACACCTGTGGTTGATGGCACCAATATCAAGATACCAAACATCCTTCCTGTCACCATCTCCTCCGAATGCTAATCATCATCTCCTTTCCCAACATAATTTACCTTTTCTTCAACTTGCTTATGATAATAATCAGAAGAGTAATGACAATACTTCTTGCATTTAAAATATTAAACTTGTGTATTCCATCGGTCTCAATTAGATCTACCACATCCACGGCCTCTAAAAGATCTTTGATTTTGATCTCTTTCTTCAAAGTTGTCGTGACCTCATTTGCCATAGGATGATAGGAATCAAGTCCTCGGCCTCGAAATCTTCCACGGCCATGACTCTCGTTACTTTCTTCTTTTTAATCTTCTCTACCATCCTTCGAAGAAAGCTTAGTTTGAAAAGTCTTCTCCACTTGTTCATTTCTCTTGCTAAATATTTTCTCGTGGGCATTTAAGGAACCCAAAAGTTCATTAATCGTCATCTTGTCTAAGTCTTTTGACTCTTCGATTGCAAAAATAATATAGTCAAAATTTTTAGGAAGTGATCAAAGAATTTTCTCCACCATACAAAGATCTTTGATCTTCTCGCCATTTCTCCAAACTTGATTCACCATAACCATAACTCAAGTGAAATAGTCAGGAAATAGTTCACTTTCCTCCATCTCTAAATCTTCGAATTCCTTTCGAAGTGATTGAAGTCGCACATTTTTCATCTTCTCCACTCTCTTATAGAAGTTTTGAAGTATCTCCCAAGCTTGCATTGATGTCGCTGCATCTGAGATTTTCTCGAATGTCGATTCATCAACTCCTTGATAAATAAAGTAGAGGGCTCTGCTATATTTTTTACCGGACTCTTCAAGCAAGTCTCTCTGTGCTGTTGATAGCGCATCTTCATCTTGAGGCTTCCCAAAGCCTTTCACCATGACATCCCAATAATCTATTGATCCTAATAGAGCCTTTATTTGAATGCACCAATTTTCATAATTTTCTTTGGTGAGCTTAGGAGCAACAAATTGTATCATTCTATTGGAACTCATAATGGCTTTGAAACTAATTTGATAACAACATTTTATCCAGGATAAATAATTAGGAGGGGGATAAAATTATTCTTTTCATCTTTCAACTTACAAAACACACATATATGTACTACTACTATGACTCTTAGACTTCTTAACAAAGTCTCTTAAACTTTCCAGCCACATTCAGCATCTAACATATTCATGCATTTGACTCCTCAGATAATTAAATGACCTTTCCAATTCTCAATGTAGTTAATCAATTTTACTTTCAACAGGTACAGTAGTAAAATAGAAAGCTTTAATTTCTTGGTGTGGATCGTATGCTTTTCATCATCTGTTATTATTTTCATTATAATACATGTGGAGGAGGATGATTCACAATATTATGCATGTGTTTAATGAAAAGGATGTGTTCTACTAAGTAGTTAGCAGATTTAGATCCCTAACACCCCCTCTCTTTTCCTCCCATACGGAGTAGAGACAGTTTCTCAGCCAGAAAACTGATCTCCTGATTCCTTTTGAAGCCCATCAGCTCAGCCATCTCCTTGGCCTTCTTTCTGAGTCCCATCCCTTGATCAGTACTCGAAAATATTTGTAGTATCCCTTTGAGGATCTCCTCTCTCTTAAACATCCTCCGAAACCCAGGCGTACCTCTTGCATCATCATTATTGTTATTCACTAACGACAGTTCGCCCTCGATCTCCACTCCAACCCCAAGCTCTACAACCAGCTTGGCATTGAGAGGCTGATCCAGCTGCAGAGGCATCGCTACAAGGGGAATACCAAACCTCATCCCTTCCATCACAGAACTCCACCCGCAGTGACTCAGAAACCCACCAGTGCTGGGATGGTTCAGAATTTCTCTCTGCGGTGCCCAGCCCTCTACTATCAGTCCTCTATCATCACTGCCAATCCCCTCTAAAACAGCACAAGCCTCGTTCTTTCGTTTATGATCGCCCCCTTGCACCCTGCAGTTTCCTTCCCCCTCGTGCTCAGGGAACCTGACCACCCATATGAAGCTGACCTTGCTCTGTTCCAGACCCTGGGCTATCTCCTCAATCTCCTCATCCGTCATGAAGTACTCGGTGCCAAAAGAAACAAACAGTACAGAAGACCTCTCCTTGTCGTTGAGCCATTGGATGAGCCTCCTGCTGCACTCACGGCCCTCGTCCATGGTGTCGGGCACAAGAGGGCCGACGGGCACCAGCTCCTTGGAGATGAGGGATGACAAGGAATCCAGGTACTTGGATTCAATCTCTGTGAAGGTCTTTATGGCCACGAAGTCAGATGACAGGCGCACGCACTCCAGGAGGCGGTCAGCGTCGGAGATACCGTTGGCCACCCTCTTGAACATGTGCGTGCAGATGATGTTGTGGTGGTCATCCTGGGACAGAGGGATGTCGAAGAAGGGGACCTTGTGTCCATGATCAGGCTGCTTCGTGAGGTGGTGGTAGAAGAAGGCGGTGGCGGCAGCACCCGTGGTGAGGAACAGGACGGCAGGGATGTTGAGCCTGTTGGCAGCTCTAGGAGCCCAAGGCTGGATGAAGTCGTAGATGAGGAGTTGGGGGCGCAACTCCTCCAGTATTCGGGAAAAAGCAGGCTCAGAGAGGTCGAAGGCGGTCTTGAGGGCAGGCATGAGATGGGAGGGGAGGTACTTGGTCGTGTGGAGATGTTGGGGAAGGCGGACTGGTCGAGCTGTTGCTTAACGGAGGAGAGGTTGACAGGGGTGGAGCAGAAGTGGAGGAGGATGTTGTTATGGGAGAGCCTCTTGGCGAGTTCAAGAAAGGGGGAAAGGTGGCCATGAGCAAGCCACGGCAGCATCAACACATCAACAACTGCTCTCTCTTCTTCTGGATCTCCCATTCCTATCCCACCAACCCCTCGATCCATCGGCGGCTGGTTTCAGATAAATGTGTCCGAGCAGCAACTGATATATACAAGAGTGAGAAGTGAGACCACTCAAGGTGATAATTAGTAAAAAAGAGTTTTCAAGGGATAGGCATGATCTCGTGGGGGCAAGAAAAGGACAAAGAGAGAGAGAAAGAGAGAGAGACAGCGATGGAAAATACTGACCCCGACACTTGACAGCTAAGGCTAGGGGACAATCGATACATTATCCATCCTAAGTCATGGCATGCGTAACCCCTTGGATCCTCTAACATTAATTAATTATGACTTCCACTAGAGCAAGATTGTCTACAGTTTTAATTTAGGGTAGTACTAAGTACACACCCCCAACCACACCTCCAATCATACCCTCCTCTCTCATTTGCTACAGTGCACCGGGCCCCACATGAGATTTTAAAATTTAAAATCTCATGTGGGGCCCGGTGTACTGTAGCAAATGAGAGAAGGGGGTGTGGTTGGAGGTGTGGTTGGGGATGTGCCCCTATCATTTTCCTTTAATTTAAGGTTAAGTGCGAATTACGAACAGACCCCTCTGGTATCGACATAAGTAAGTTACTATTGGTTTGTCGGAAAATTGAAGAAGAAATGATAATAAAATTCGTATTAATCTCCCTAACCGACTTAGGAAAAGAATGAATACAATCTCTCACTGTAATCTATTAGTCTAAGTATAGACCCAAAGCTGAAGCCGAAGCTGGAATCAGGAAAACGAAGGAAATAGTCAAGACAAGCTACGGTCGACCACGATGGTTGGTGCGGTCAACAGCGAACGTGCACGAGACAGGAAATGTCTTTGAATTTTTTTTGGTCGACCGCGGCAGATTGTCCAATCGACCGCGAGACCATGTAGGTGTTTTTGGGTTTCTGTCCTTTATCCGGTCGACCGCGACTGGTTCGGCGATCGACCGCGAGTCGAGCTAGCAGTTTCCTAAACTGTTTTGGATTCTGTTTGAGCTGAGATTAATATATATACCTATATGTTTCTAGGGATAATTAGAACATCGAAAAAAGTCAGAAGACAAGAAAAAGAGAACTTTTGAGAGAAAATCTCAGAGAGATTAAACCCTAATTTGAGTGCTTGTATTCCTTCTTCAATTAATTAAAGGAATTGTGTGATGTGGCTCCTGAGGACGTAAGCATGTTGCCAAACCTCGTTAAATCCGTGTGTTCTTTTTTATTCTTATTTCCTACAAGTTTTTATCTTTGATTTGTGGTGAATTTCTTTCTTACTCAACTCTCAAACACAAGATCCGGAAAGGTACGGATTCGATTTGATTATTTCGAATCCCCAACAACTGGTATCAGAGCTTTGGTCAGCAAATTTGTGAAGAAGAGAGTCATGGCAGAGGAAATCAAATCTAAGATCGAGAAGTTTGACGGTTTAGATTTCGCCTATTGGAAGTCGTCGATGGAGGACTATCTGTACCAGAAGGACTCGTATCGCCAGTTGATGGGCAAGGATAAATGACAGAAGAAAGAGGAGTCAGACGATGATTGTGAGATACTGGATAGGAAGGCTTTAGGGCAAATCAGGTTGTCGCTCGTCAAGACAGTAGCCCATAATATATTAAAGGAGAAGACGACAGTAGGGCTTATGGAAGTGCTCGTTAAGATGTACAACCAACCGTCTGCAGCAAACACGGTGCATCTCGTCAACACTCTATTCAACCTCAAGATGGCAGAAGGACGATCCTTCACGATGCACCTCAGCGAGTTCAACATGATTGTTGATCAACTTATCTCCATAGACATCACGTTTGATGACGAAGTGTAATCCCTATTGATTTTATTATAGTTATCGAATAGTTGGACATGTTGTATGACGGTAATCAGCAATTCGGTGGGGAAAGAGAAGTAGAAGCTGAGTGAGGTTGTTAGCATGATTCTATGTGAGGAGGTTAGAAGAAAATCGTTCAAATCAAATGGTTCAGGTTCAGCTCTAAGTTTCGAGCAAAGAGACAGAAACCAGAAGAAAAGGAACCAGAACAGGAATCGGTTGAAGTCGAAGGTTAGGCATATCAAAGGAAAATGTTGGAACTACGGCCAGGAGGGCCATATGTCTTCAATCTGCAAAAGTCCAAAGAAAGATACGCGTGAGTAGGAGGCTCATATCATGCAGGATGCTTTGCTCCTTGCTATGGTCAGCGATTCAGATTCTTAGGTCATCGACTCAGGAGCCTCTTTCCATGCCACTGCTAATAAGAAGCTTCTTCAGAATTATATAGCATGGGACTTTGGAAAAGTATATTTGGGGGGACAATGAGCCATGTAATATTGTTGGAAAGGGCGACGTGCAGATTCAGATGAAGGGCTCTAAGTGGAACATAAAAAACGTGAGACATGTACCGAAGTTGAAGAGAAATCTTATTTTGGTAGGACAACTTAGAGCAGAAAGTTACGTTTTGACATTCACCGGGGATTCATGGAGGATCTCTAACGGTACGATGGTTGTTGCCCGAGGCAACAAAACAGGAACACTCTACCTCACCTCATATGTGAGTGACTCCCTCACAATTATAGCTAGCAAATAGAGTACGGATCTGTGGCATAACAGGTTGGGACACATGAGCGAGAAGAGAATAAAAATTCTACATTCACAGGGAAAGCTAACCGGGATCAATTCTGTGGAAATCAGGGTTTGTGAAGATTACATCTTTGGGAAGCAGAAGAGGGTTAGTTTCCAGAAGGATAGAAGGTCACCTGATGGAGAATTTAAATCAAATCTAAACTCAATACAAATACTAGCTTATGGAAATATAAATCAAACGTATAAATAGCTAGATTCTAAACTCAATACAAATACTAGCTTATGGAAATATAAATCAAACGTATAAATAGCTAGATATGAGTTTAGAGATTCTTCTCTGAATAACAAAATGGAGAGATGGAGATTGAAGCCCAAACAATAAGATGATCTCCTCCACTTGAGAAAACTTCTTCACAAACAAAACAGACACTAAACACACTTAAACCCTTGTTTAAAACTTGTTTAAAACACTCTCATTAGTTAGTTCAGAACTAAGATCAATGGGGGCATTTATAGCCTCCCAAAGCCTCAGTCAAAAACCCCAAACAAAAGACCAAAAAGCCCCAAACAACGGCTGCAAGAAAATAGTCGTTGGGAATGAAAAGACAGTGCGGCGGTCGACCGTGAGAAACTCGCGGTCGACCGTGAGGCAAAACCAAAAGTGAGAAAATATCCATGGAAAGCTACGGTCGACCGTGGCGGTCGACCGTGGGAACTTACAGGCTGACGGTCACTTAGGAAAATAACCAGGCACGGTCAACCGTGACGGTCGACCGAGAACTGATATATTGAAAATACAGGTTTTGAAAATAGTTTTTGTGACCTTAAAACCCTGTTTAAAAATATCAAATTAATTCTAAAAATTATGAAACTTTGGGAAATGATTGTAGACATGATAATACACATGCTACAAAACATGAAAATGTGAACATATGAATTTTGACATTTTAGCTTAACCATGTTTTGAAACAATACAAAATGATTTTGTAGACTTAATAGAAGATGTTGTTTTGAAACAATACAAAATGATTTTGTAGACTTAATAGAAGATGTATATGATTGTTATTAAGTCCATATACTAAGAACACAATATTTTCATAAAACTGCATATTCTATGCAATAAATACTAAAACACAATAGAGTATGAAATATGTAATTTCATATATATAAACATAAAAACCCAAAACACATATATGTATATATATAACTATATATATGCATAGAAACCAAAACCTATGTATACACTATATGAAAACCAATATAATGTGTGTGTATAATATTATATTGAGCTTAAGGTACTAACACACATAATATAAACTCCTAAACTAAATTACCCAAGCTTGATCTTGATCTTAAATAGCTTGACTTGGTAATCTTGCGGATAAGGCTTGAACTTGGATCTTCAACTTGAATTGTACAAAGCTTCACCTACTATTCCGCCAACCTCCATTTGATATGATCGTTATGGCGTAATCCATCCAACCTCCAACTCGTTGTTTGCCTAGAATAAATACGAAAACACAAACACTAGACAAATAACATTAGAAGTAAATTATTTGTTAAACATCATTAAAATGACCCTTTGGAAAATTATGTTTTAAACTTTTGAACATGAAAACAATTCTTTTTATTGATAGGGGTCATGTCCCTAACAACTTGAAGCCGGATCCTCAAAAGCTTGTCGGATCGCCCCCAAATTTCCTTGATGTACTTCTATAAGTTTCCATAAGGTGTAAGCACTATCAAAATGAACAAACTTGTTAGACATAGATGAATCAAGAGCATTTAGTAAATATTCTAACAAAATATTGTTCATTGTAAACATATGATGATCATTTTTATTCCACTTGGATTTCTCCGAAGTGGGCACAATATAATCATCATCTATAATTTTCCATAAATCAAAATGTTTAGATTGAACAAAAAGTTTAAATCTAACACACCACTAGGCATAAGAAAAATTATCTAATCTAGGAGCAATATTAATGGCATAACCTAAACCATGCATATCCATAATTAAAAAGCAAGCAAGATCAAAAATTGGATTAGCACAAAAAGATAACTTGGATCTTTAACTCAAGGCGATTAGTCCTTAAATCAAAGAGCACCAAGCTCTGAAACTAATTGTTAGACCTTAGAGGGGGGGTGATTAGGGTCTTATACTAATCTAATCTGATTTTATGCTAATTAAAACTAATTAACAAGTTATCCTAGCAAGTATGAAATACAACAAGATATGTGAGCTAGGATAAGCAATATGAGCAATAAGATATATCCTATATGATAGAAATATATGCAAGGATATATAAACTAATACAAGGGTGATATAATCAAATTACAAATGTGATAGGGTAAAAAATACAAGAGTAATAGGCAATTGGCGATATAAGATAAATGCATAAGCAAATGTGCCAAAGACAAACTCAAACACACTCAAATGATCACAGAGTTTGGACCTTTCGTCCTACGTCTCCGCTCCCCACTCCCGGGGAGAAATCCACTATCACAATCTGGTTTTCTACGCTCACCCGAATAATGTTTACACCTCACAATATCGGTTTTTAACGTTCACCGATCA